CGACAGTAGCCGGCGGAACTAATTAAGGATGAGCTTCTCCAGAACGCTTTTATTTAGTCGGTCACGAGAACGGAAACAAAAGAAGTTCTTTGCTCCTTTCCTCGTTCAGCTTGAAAGAGAAGCGTGCGCATTCATCCACGTAGGAAATGTGCATGAAGTTTCAGAAAAAGAGAGAAAAAAAATCAAAACGAGATAGAGCGAGCCGTTGAATTTCAAGTTTTGGTTTTCGAGTATTTACCGGATATTCAATTTATCCTCGCTACGTTTCTGCTCGTGAGTATCACTGAAAAATACCGTCGCGTCGTTACGCTCTTTTACTCGGGTAAATACTCTTTGGTCGAATATCGGGTGCATATATAAAGAAAGAGTTAAGAACGAGAAGTGGAAGAGTTTTTGATCGGTCGTATGGTGGTGGCGGTGGTGGTGGCGGTGGTGGTGGTGGTGGTGGTGGTGGTGGTGGTAGTGGTGGTGGTAGTGGCAGACAGAGAGTTGATAAGGGTTAATTTCGTACGAAGAGGCAGCGGCGCCACGGCGCTCCGAATAGGTGAAGAGAGAAGAGGAACTGCGGTCCAACGTCTGTGTCCGGTTGTGATTCTTGCGCCTGCCCCGAGTGATGTTCACCCCCGCCGACACCGTTTCAAACCACCTCCGGCTCGTCCTCGACCGACGTCCTGTTGTGGTCGCGCAAGCGCATTTTACGCTGCTTCCGTTTAGTCCGCATCAACGGCTCGACCACGTCGTAACGTCCGATCCACGCTGGGATCGTCATGAGCGAACAACTGGGGAAGTAGTCCTTGGCCGAGGTTCAATTGGATTTCAGTGATTCGAGTGCCTTCGAATCCCGCTGGTCCGTCAGCCAGCCGTAACGAGAAGTTTTGCCTCGGGACTTCTCTACCAGAAGATCGTTATAATTATGGCCGTTGGTTCGGTTCAATTGGTCCCTGTATCGAAATCTCCTGACATCGAGTCCGCAACTTCGATCTATACCGCGAGAGTTGCTTGAGAACGATGGGAACTATCTTTGGTTAGCATATTTCAGCCGTATCGAATATTGTGTGTTCAAGAGAAATTAGGCTTCTCCATTCGTTTTATTATTTAATCTCATATATTACATATATATTTTTATTGCAAGACATTGAACAAAGAGTAATTTGAGAAATTACATCAGAAAAGGCGCACTTTGTAATTTTCCCTTGCAATCGAATTTGCAATATCTTTCCTCGTATTTCGAGGGATCGAGTTTCATCCTTAAGCGATAGCGCGACGAGACCGCGGCTGAAAGCATACCAAATAAAAGAACGAAAGAAACGAGGAGATTAAGGGGATGGCATGGAGACTCGCATGGCATCGATGACTCTGTACGAACAGCAAAGTAGCTTTCCCCCTGAGACCGAACGAGATCGATCGGGCAGATAGAAAATTTCGATTGTCAACGGGCTACCTCTCTGTTCGCGTACGAATCTCTCGTATGCGAGCTGTGTTTCTGTGAGTGGTGAGTGAATTGTGATTGTGCGCAACAGAGATCAACGGAGTATCGATATAGAATGATACCGGGCCAGAAAAGTGACAGCACGATGCATTGAAAAAGAAGAGAGATAGAGAGAAAATGAAGAGTGTTCTCGCGGAGGACAGGCAAACACACACAGGCAGCCATACAGCCAAGGCAGATAGGCAGCAAAGTTCGCGAAGATGATAACAGCCATCGGTTTTTGCGAAAATAAGACTATTTATCAGACGATCGATGTTCTCTCTCACAGGGGAAATTGTAACAAGCTATCCTGTATGACAACCTACATTCACGCAACCAATGTCACTGGAGGACATCGCGTCCTCGATTTAACTTTGCTTCGGGAACTCTGCAAGCGAATAGGCAACAAACTTCTCCAGAACTTAGAAAAGTATACCGGCGACATTAGAAAAATCGATCGTATGAAAGTTAAACTACTTTTGTTGGAATTAATCGATCGAGAAATAATCAGTATTAATAACTAACGTGTGCCTTGTAAAAATATAATATAATATAAATTTCCGGTATGCATCTCGTTTGAGGAAGTTTGCGATGGCAAGCAGGCGGGCGATCGAGCAAGCGAGTGTAGTTGTTGAATTTTAAGCAAGCAAACACACACGTGGGCACACACCGCACACGTGAAAACACATACATACACAGCCAGCAACACGGACAATATTGATAAATGCCCGGTTCAGCCAGCAACACGGATTACATTGGTAGCAGCGACAGAAGTTGCCGATTATGCGCGCTCTTTTCTCGATTCGCAGACCAAAAATCGAGAAACGATCCTTCTTTCTTTCGTCGAGATCAGAGCTGTTGTTTTACTGTCGTTTACCTGTCTCGGCCAGCCTCTAATAGACAATCGCTTGACAAACTATGAGAAGAGAGAATCATAGACGTTCCCTAGAGGCTTTCACGCTTCAGTCGAGGCGAGCCCTTTTGTTTTCGACTCGACGATCGATTCTTTCTTCTTCCTAATACATTGCTGGACGAATTGATTCCTTAAAGGGTTCGTTCATTAAAGATTTGTCAAATACCTCGAAATTTCCTCGTTTAAATAACTTGGAAACACGTTTATAGAAAAAGTGTAAAAGAATTCCTTATATACGATCGTCGACTCGATATTTTCTTGAATGTGATTCACAATGGGAAAGAAAACGTTGCATGTTTGCATACAAGTTGCATCGAGACAAAGATAAAGAATAACAGAAAAGAGGAAGGGGGAGACGGAAGCAACTGAAAGAGGATTGTGCACGTACATACAAGAGGATCGTTATATTCTTCCGATATCTTCGTGTTCCGAAAGTTGAACACATCCTTCTCGACCGTTTCAACGATATTAATTAAAAATCGATGCGAAGAAACTCTTTTATCCTCGTCTTGATTTCATTGAAAACAGGCAAGAAATGGACAAGACAGATCGAGAAGAATTCGAAACAAAAAAGAAAGAAAGAACAGGGAGAGGTTGTAGGAAGAATAGAAAAGAGCGAAAGAGATACAAGAATAGGAGATCGCACAAAAAAGCCCTATTACCCTCTGTCTTAATCGCTACGACTGTAATCATCGAGAATGTTCCACGCAACGTATAGAAAGATTGAACCACGTCATCTTTACGTATACGTTACGACACGTATACGGTACGATAAAATTATTAAATAATACCGCGCAATCATCGATGTTCCTTCATTCTTTCTAAATCTTTTATCGTATCAAAAACGTTCTCTGTTTTCCATAGCGTCCTTTCCAGAAGACCCAGTGCGTGCGTTGGAATTCACCGTTGCTGAAAAAAGATATGCTCCACCACTGGTAGCATTAAGAGACCTTTTCTCAACTTCTTTTTTTTTTGTCTAACTTTTTTCTACTTGTCCTAATTGTCTTTGCACATTCGAAGCCTCTCGAAGCTCGAATATCTCGATCAAATTGACTGACATTGACAGCAATTTCATATACGTATATATATAAAAAAAAATATATATATATATTTATAGGTACGGGTGGCTTTCTTTTAATGGCATCCCGCGTATAAAGTATGTACGTACACTAAATAGTTGTTGACGTCTCCAGTGCTCGAAATGCGACACGTGCTAATTAGTGCAGCCACAAATAAGTAGCAAAAGAAATTGGAATGGAGCGACGCAACAACCTTTTAACCTCATCGCATCTTGATCTCTTCACCTATGGATTTTAATATTCCACATGGTGTAAAGGAACATTTTAAAACACGATTCAGAGATATGTTGTCTTTGAAGGAATCGTTTTCCTGAATAAAATGAAGATCACACGAATAAGAGATAATTTACATCCGGGTTATTAGGTGTCGATTACGTTCGCTCCTTCGACAATAAATGACAAGTTAAACGGGAAAAGAATGAAGACATCGGATGTACACAGTAATAGTTCCGCACACACTTATAGAGACGTAACATACATATATCGAGAATAGATATCCAAGATACGAGCATAGACAACGAATAATTATGCATGGGAAGAAAAATGCGGAGCTGAAGAACGTAGACAGAACACACGAAAACACGCGCACGAACGCACACGTTTCATTTTACTTTCGATAGATTTTTTATCAGCTCGATATCTTCCTCATTCCGTGACTGATGGACAAGAGATATTTCGCGTGCGATGTATCAAGGTTAACACGAAGCGAATTTATAATGACATGACATTGTTATCGCGTGCATTCGTGCTGCGGATTACCGTCTCGGACCGCGTCGATGCGTCGTCTTACAATTCTTCCGAGTACATTCACGGCGATCCCAATGGGAACGGACATATAAATTGCTTGGCAGCCGTGCGATAACTTTCTTTTTTCTCCACTTCTTTCTTTAAGAGGAAAATGTCTCTTTTTGCTTTCGTAACGAAAAAATCCACGTTACAAAGCCACGCTATCCCGGATATGGCTATTATTTACTTCCGCTGACTACATACTGTTCAAAATTTATAGAAGTATTATAGGAACGAAGAATGCTTTTGGCGCCAGAGCTGGGTCAAATACTATTTCAAGATTCTTTAACGCTACATAAAATTTATCTGTCTTCGCTATATGTAGAAAGATCTTTGTTACGTTCGTTCGAATGCAACTTGCACTTGTTTCTCTCTCGTATACACAAAAGTATAATACAACTTCAGTGTTTTTATTCGGGCTAGCCGAAATAGCGTTTGGCCCACCTCTCTCCAGCGCGTTTTCATCCTTTTTTTTTTTATTCCTTTTTGTCTGACTTTGTCCCTTCAACTGCACACCGTCAAGTTCACCCGGGGATTGACCATGACGCCCATCTTTGCCGCGATATAACACGCAACGATTTTACCAGCGACAATTAGACTTCTATAATTTCTATGATACAAAATCTGGGAGTAAAAACTCCGGGAATAAATCGCTATAGTAACGAGGATCGAGGATTAGTACCGAGGATGATCGAGGATGAAGGTTAATGCGTAAATAGAAGAGAATAGTTTCATAGGGATGAGACGAACTCACCTCCTCGCATAATGCCAGCATACGCCTCGTACTTTCCAAGGACTGAAACAGAACGCGTCACGTGGATTAAGCAATGCGTATAAATTACAAATACAAAGTATAAATTACAATGTGAGTTCCAACGCAAACAAACAAATTAATGAGTAAATAAGTATTTGGAGCAACGGTCAATGCACGTGTTAAACGAAGAATTAATAAAAAAAAAATTGCATCATTGTCAAACGGTAGATGAATCTTCTCTAATGTGGAACATTGCGAAATCTCATTGATACGTAATACCACGGATTTCCTAAATGAATCAATTGAAAGAATCAATCATTATGAAAGACGTCGAAAGAATATCAAGTATCAAGGAGTACACCTACCTCATCTGTAGTTTGATCGGCCTTTAATTGTAATTCCTGCAATTCGGTGCGAGGTGGGCCACCCTCCACCGTACCCTGTGTTGGTGCCGGAGCAGGCATCTTGTCTGGTGCCTGACGATTTAACTATCTTCTACGATCGCACTTCCTCTTGGCTCGCTGTGTAGCCCGCGCAGCTCCTTGTTTATGGGCTGGAACGTTCTGCAACGTTGAAAAGTAAACGACAGATTAAACGACCATTCTTAAAATGCTTCTCTACATTCTAACTAAAAAAACCTCGAACACGGCTCCATGAATATAATCGAGTTACCCGGTGGCTTAATTAAATCCAGGTAATTGCGAAATATCAGTAACGAAATTAAGGTCTGTTTTCTATCGAACGATTGTCAATTGCTTTAGTTTACGTCACGTGTACATGCTGGACCGAGAAACACAAATACCCAGCAGATGTACACATGCATTTTTAAGAGAGAATGAGAGAACAGAATAAACGAGAGTTACGTACTTTCGAAAAGAAGAACCACAAGATATGCTAACGAACAGTCGATAAAGACGATACAAGACGAGCAAGGTCAAAGATCAACAAAGTTTTGCAATTCTCTCGCAGGCGTAACACTGGAATGAGTCGATTCAGCGTGTGGAGAATCTGCGATTGTGAAATTTTACGCAGATATTTGGCAAAAGCAGCCAACCAGTCAATAGTCGTGAATGCATGTATACGCGTTTACGTGGTGGAATTACGTGTGTGCCGGTGCTCCTATGAAAATCAATACCCAACGACCGACCGACCGACCGACCGACCGACCCACCGACCGAATCGCGCGCAGACGCACACGACCGCGCCTTCTCCACGCCGTACTTCGTGCTTCCTGTCTCCAACCCTCCTATAACCAACCCCTTTTGCAAACTCTTCTCCGCGCGCACCTACCACCTGGACGACCACCCACCAGTTCTTCAATCCAAAGCACCACCACGAGAACCGATCAGCTGAGCTCTACGATGTATGTATGTGGGTTGCTCTGAGAAACATCGAAAGCATGTTTTCAAACATCGATGCATCCACCTTAACGAGCTTCCATAAATAAGCGTCTTTTTTATACCCTACGATATTTCGACAGCCTTCCAAACGATCTCCCTGCTGTCGTAAATAACGCTTTCAACGGTTAGGGGAAAGTTTCGTCATGTGCATCGAAGCTTTGTCAAAGGTTACGGTAACTAAGTGCGTCAGTATAACTTTCTTTAAAGTTCTTTGTTAAATTTCTATCTGAAAGAAGTGAATATTGAATCAGAATATTAGGTTTCCGGGCTGAAGGTTCTTGAACAATTGATGCAAAGGTATTATTCGAAAATAAATCTTCCTCGTCTATTTTGAGCCGATCCATTCAGGGAAGATTCCTATTGAGAGGAAGACTCGCGTAGAATTCAAAGCACGCGGAACACCTTGTTAATGCATTAAGACAGCGCGAGAGCCTAGTAATTGGCACTTGTAAATTTAATTACCGACAAATGAGTTGTAACAGAGACATGAATACCAGCTAAGACAGAGAAGAGAATATGAAAAGGTATTAACGATGTAATACATATTCCTATGTAATCTCTGGGAAATTAGTTCACACGTATAATAAACCGTGCGTGATAAAATTACGGCGACCTCCGTGGTCGGTGATTTCGTACGTATGTAGGAGAAATTATGGCGTGATCAATTGACTGAAGCTGTCCTTGCCCTCGAGACGAAGTTGGCTCGTTTCCAGGGCGAAAGGTATCGCGTCGCTTCTCCTGGTCACGGTACACCTCGCCAAGATCACGGACGACTAGTCAGACCTGGAGGACGCTGCTTGTATACCCTCTCAAATCGCAAACAAACAGATATTGGTGTTCGATAAAACAAAAATGAAGAGCATTCGAAGGAAATCGTGTTCAGAAATCAATACCGACCACCGAGGAAATGTTCTCGAGCTACGTAGGTACATTCAGAAACCGTACCAATACCAACGACACCCTTGGACGTCATTTCAGAACAGATTCTTTCATGCATGACAAGATATGAATCCCAAACGGAATCTTTGATTAAAACGTTAGGCTAACGTAAACGTAAAAGCTATCGAATTGATCGGTATATTCTCATTCGCATTCTTCAGATAAGCATTGCTTAACTTATTGACAGCATAACTTATTGACGAATAGCTTTAGGTGGTTTCAAATCATCGGATAAAGGTTTAAAATAGAAAATTACGAGACAATAGACAATAGCATTGCCTCGTGGTTGCGATTCGTTGCAACTTATGTCGTAACTCCAGATTTGCCTTCAAAGCGTACCAAGAGAACGAGCTTCATATTCTTAAGAGATATTTGGTCGTGAAAGTCATACTCAGAATAATGATGATCTCTAGTGATCACGTGGAAGGATGGACACACATGTAGATGCGCTTTGTAGGAAATGTCGATCGCGCAGCGCAACGTGCCGGATGCCGGTAAGATAATGCGGCCATGTCATGACGCGTACTTCAATCTGCACGCCTGCAGGTATATACATACATATATAATACAGGTTGCTTGCGTATTGCACGAATGTCTTGACACGCACCTTCCTGTTTAGAGTGGTTCGAGGTCTAACGTTCTTCGAACGCGAAACGTAGTCAATGTGTGATGAAAACGTTCCCTAGGTCGACAGGAAGTATCGAGGAAGTCATATCGAATGGATGATGCTGGTGAGAAAACAATAGATGAATTAATTCCGAGAGTGACGAATCAGAATGCTTCGTCGGAAAAGAATATGAATTTTTACGTAGATATACAAAATACAATGGCTCGATATAAATGCACTTGAAGCTTGAATGTTAAAGTTCGAGCTACTCGGATGGATGTTTTAATTTTTACCTACCATTACAGGTAATATTAATATATAAATTCCAATATACGGGGCGTTATTCACATTATGAAACTTTAATGAAAAATCAAGAGGTTCTGAATAAAAAATAATCGCGATGGCGATTAGGTAGATAAGGAAATAGATATTTCAGTGCATTTCCGCATCTGATTACTCAAATATGCATCATTATAATTACATAGTCCCATCTTACGTCAAAGAATAAATATAAAATACAAGTATTCTGACGTCATACATACTCCCTCGTTCTTCTCGCACACACGCGCACGAAGTGACGTGTAAGTATCTGTGTGCGTGCGCGCGCCAGCGCCCTCTTATCATACACACACAAACTCAGATGTTTTTCATCAATGACGCTCAGCTGTTAACGCCGGTAGAAAAAGTGTCAAGAGCTTACTTGGTCGAAAATGCTTGTCGTTTTTCGATGAATTCGAATTTCTACAGTCAAATCAAAGAATAGAAAATATTAATTTATAAAGTTTTACGTACGCATTAAGTAGACCGCGCATACGTATGACATTAAGAAATCAATAAATAAAATAGCCGGTTAGAGACTATAATGTTAATGCGACGTTATCCCTCTTTCTCGAAATAAATATAAATATTACAATGAAATGTATGTTAAATTTTCTCTTGAACAAATTCGCTTTTACGTCATGAAGTGCATTCCTCGAAGGATGAAATGCAACACAAGCACGGAAACCTCCTCTGCAACGCACGCTTTAAATGTTAAACTTATCTTGTTTCTTGAAAGCAATAAATCCACGATAAAATCTAATTAACCTGTAATATTAAGTAAATCTTTAATGACGTCTGCCTGGTTTCCGATTTTCTCCCTGCACAAGGAATTCAAAGCTATTTGAAATACTTTCATCTATATGATAAATATGAATCGTGGTGAGCAGTGGTTTAAAGCCATCATTTCCATTGATGACTGTCGTCTCTCTACGTTGGTGTGTCACGAAAAGAAAATTTCTAGGTCAAATACATTACTTATAGAATTCGAATGCCATACGAATAATATAAATTTGTGAAAAAAATACAAGATAATAATCATTAAGGTTAATTGAAATGACAGAATGCCCTACTGTATCAATGCGTGGTAACGTAAGATACAAAGGAAAAAAATATACAGTATCACCGGTCTAGCTATTATTACTAACCGTACTCGTCAATAAAGTTGTCTTCGATGGGTGTTTCCGCCGGTAGTGAACTCTATAATTGGCTTGTTTGAAGAAGAATCGGGAATACAAAATTTCCTGATGATCACTGACACTTTTTTCTATAAAAGTGTAAAAAAACCGGTAGAATCCTGAGAAAAATTCACGAAGCTACGTTCTCTCCGACTGAAAGATTAGTACTCACAATCAGCTACTGAGCAACGAGCAGTCGCAGAGTTTCAGAACAGCGCTTGCCTTGTAGTGGGGGTAAAATGTCGTCGACAAAGAAAACCACCAATAGGAAAACCGGATTATAAAGCTGCAAACTCCAGGCGCGGGAATACTTATTTTATATTGAAATATATAATTTTTCATAACAGATTTTACATAATATACTATTTGTTTCTTCTAATGACTAATTATAGCTCTTAACGAATGTTAATTCAAATCAATTACATGATGATTGCGATGTAAATACGATACTCATATGGTTTGAGAACCACTGATTCATTATGCCGACTTTCAAATATGATATCGCGATAGTATTAAGGAAACAACTTTCGAGTTACAATGTATATCGAAAATATATATAATGAATCATGTGTCTTATACATAATTCAGTATATGGATTGATGAAAGAAATATAGAAACACATAATGTTATGAAAACAATATATAAAAATGTATATATATGTATGTATATACTACAAGCAAATGTGCTAATGAAAAAAAGTTAATTCATCGAAATAAGTTGAAATTCTATTTATAATATGTCTAAATCTATTCTCATTTCATTATTATAATAATTTTCAAATATCTCTCAATAAGTTTTTAGTAATTCTATAGTAGGAATGTATCATCATCTCATCATCATCAAAATTATCCATTATAATTGAGGTTAAACATTGGTCAGTATCTTAAAAAATGCAAATTGTTAAATGATCTTTTTTTTTTAAGGCAAAGATGTATATCTGCAACTATGTTTTTCATTTTATTTATTTTATCTAATATAATGTTGTCTGAAAAAATTGAAAAATAAGTAATTAATTGACAGAAATAATGTGCAAAAATGCAAAAGATATGAGTGGAGATCCAAATATGTAACTATGTGCTACAATTGAATGCATATGTATTACTGTATTACAAAATAAGATATCAAAGTAGAAAGAAAAAATTTTTGGAGTAAGAAAACCAAAAGTCGTTATAAAATTCCAAATTCAATAAAGCTAGTAACACAAGTTACGTATTTTAACGTGAGTTAAACGATAGCTAGAGTAAAGTAGAAAATCGATATAACTTCACTGCAATGTAGTACTTTGTTAGTTTCTACCTATATAACTTTCGTCTAAAGTGTATTGAAATAAGTAGTATATTTGCTCACCAATGATAATCAAGGACTTATCATATGCCACGAATGAACTATCCTGTAATTCTGTTAACGTCTTGTCTTTTCGAGAACACTGCTGCAATCACTGGTGATCACATCGATACAGTGAAACAGCTGCTGCTTTTTTGACAACCGGAACTTGAAAATGGTTAACATCAGTTTTTAAAATGGCGCGAAAACTTGAACATAGAAATATATAACCAATTTTCAAATAATATAGAGAAATATTTCCAAGATGTTTTATTTAGTACATATCATATCTAAAATTGTATGATAGAGTGTGTGTGTCACGTAACTTTTATTTAAACATGAAAAAATATCGTGTCAAATTAACAAACATAAGCAACTATTGACCTTATTTTCTCAATATTTTATACAGACATTACAAAATATTTGTAATATTTTGCATTATTCACCCTGCACTACATAAAACTGAGTCTAACTGATACTGCATCATGAATATTTCATACTGAATTATATATCCAGATTCTAAACTTTCAAATATAATTATAAATTGCTAAATTTTATTCAAAATTATTCAAAGCCATGAACACTTTTTAGTTTCTTCTCATTATCCACATATTTATTGTTATATACACGTTATCATAAATGTTCCAATTTTGAAATTCGAATCTATATACTTTATATATTAAATTACTAAATATTTTCAGTTAGAAATACAAAACAACAAAATATTTTAATTTTACAATCACATGAAATATTGTTAATATTGTTAATATTACATTATAATGTTAATTACAAGAATTAATAGAATATCAGTTAGTTGCATATTAAATTATAAGGTTTATCTTATCTTTGGTGCAATAAAAATGCTTCGGAAAAGATATATATAATAAGTTCACAGTCGAAGAGAAAAATCCATGTTTTTTAGCGTAAACGATTACGAGTACCAGCCAGTATATACTTTTTAATCTGTCATTTCTATTTATATTGTACAAGTTACTTTATTTATCGTTCTTTTCGAAATCTGTTATTTTCGCTTACGTCACATAAATATTTATATAAAAAGTAGAACGATCAAAATCAAAGTTTTCATTTAGCGATCGGAAGTTTTAAGAATTGATTATCATTCTTAATTCAGTAATATAAAGGAATTTAAAACCTCAACCAAAGAGTCAATTGCGTCAGTTGGAGGTCAACATCGTGCAGTGTACGCAGTAAGATGGCAGGCTTACTGCTGCGTGTAACGCGCATTTTATTTCTATTTGTCTTTAATTCAATCCTTGTATCTTCTGGTCCCACTAACAAACCAGTACAAAATGTCCCGGAGCCTTTAATTCAAAGTGCCTTGAATTCATTGAATCAGGATTCTCCAACGCACCATACATATAAGGGCGGTAACCTGATTAGCGCGCAAAAATTGGTATGTTTTCTATAAACTTTCTAAAAATCAAGTATTGATTACATAATAATCGAAATTTTTTAATTATTTGTCTGTACTAGCTTAGATTTAAAATATTGTTTACTTTTTTAACCTTCAGGAAGAATCTCCATATGTAATATACAGACTGACATTTGACTTAACTCCTACTTGCAAAGAAGCATTAGAACCTTGTCCTCGAGAAGCATGTACTGTGGAAGTGAAACAACACGAACTTGGACATATAAATGTTTTAAGAGAATCTATACAATGTATGTATTTGTATCCTCAGTCAGTACAGGATGATCCATTGCAATTACAAGAAAATAATCAGGATCAGGATCATGTTATTGAAAATTTAGACAAGCAAATTATTAACAATCAAAGTGTTGAGCTAGATCATGAAATTCAAAAGAATGGAGATCATAATGAGAGACCATTCATAGCAATGAGAGCTTCTAGTCCTAATTATTGTCCAGGATGTCCATATGAGTTAAATCCAAATTTGCCTGGATTTGTTGCTTTTGGAGAACAAGTAATAAAATCAATGGATGAATTGATACAAAATGATTTCAAGCATAAAGTAATTGATATTGTCAAAGTAACTCGTGTTGTTCCACCTTCATCTAATATTATACAATACCAAATTTTATTACGTATAGGAGAATCTGACTGCTTGAAAAATGCAATAGAGCAATTAGAATGCTCTATACAGTCAAATCTTCCTGTCAAGGTATGCTTGGTAACATTCAAAGAACAACCTTGGCAGCAATCTAGCCGTAAAATAGTAAAGAATAACTGCACTATGGTTGCTAATGAAGAGATTAAAGAGAATGTTAATTCTTATTCAACATTAAACAGTGAATCACTTGTAACACCAACATCCAACAATGCAGAAACAAATGATGAAAAATGGGAAGTTCTAGAAAATTTAAAAGATGTTCTGGATAATTATACTTATATCACAACTAAAAAATCAGAAGAAACAGAACAATCAGAAGTGACAGAACATCCTATTCTAAAAATTTCCATAAACAGAAGTGATGATGATGTTAAACCTCAAGGGTTTGAAGATAAGGTAAAAGAATTTGGTGAATTTTTGAAAGATTTTGATTTGCCTACAAGACAAACTCAATTAGATCCAGAAATAAACAGAGAAGAAGTTAAAGAAGAAATCATTTATCCAAGAAAGGTAGACTCTATAATTAATAAATCACACACAATGTATAGAAAGAAAAGGTCAGGTCTTCCAGGCGCACCTATTAATGAAAATGTTAATGATTCTACCATTAAAGAACTTGCAGATAAGGGTCTTAGGAAATTTTCAGAAAATTCTGAAGGTTCAAATGAACCTATGATAGTAGAAATTGTTGACGCCTCAAAACAAGTAGTATCTGGATTGTTATATAAAATAAGGGTCAAATTGGGTACAAGCAACTGTCCAAAAGGTAAAAAAGATGGTTGTCAATTGAAAGAAGGAACTGAAATTAAAGAATGTTTGTTTACTATATGGTCTCAGGTATGGTTAGATAAAGGATCTCCAGATATTACTATCAATTGTGATTCAAATAAACGCCGAAAGCGATCTTTACGAGGTAGTCGATATAATCAAAAAATGTTAAAGCTAGCTGAAGAAATAAAAGATGAGACATTATTCGAAGCTTTTATCAAGAAATTTGGAAAAACATACAATTCAGCCGATGAGAAACTAGATCGTTTTAAAATATTTAAACAAAATTTAAAAATTATTGAAGAACTACAGACGTTCGAACGAGGAACAGCTGAATATGGTGTTACAATGTTTGCAGATCTCACGCCTAAAGAATTTAAAGCTCGTTATTTAGGTCTTCGTCCCGAACTAAAACACGAAAACGAAATACCTCTTCCTGAAGCTGAAATACCAGATGTTTCTTTACCACTTAAATTCGACTGGCGCGATCACAGTGTAGTTACACCTGTGAAAGATCAAGGCCAATGTGGATCATGCTGGGCGTTTTCTGTAACTGGAAACGTGGAAGGACAATACGCAATTAAACATAATCAATTGCTATCTTTATCCGAACAGGAATTAGTAGATTGTGATTCTTTAGATGAAGGATGCAATGGAGGAGATATGGAAAATGCTTATAAAGCTATAGAAAGATTAGGAGGTCTTGAATTAGAATCAGATTATCCTTATGATGCTAAAGATGAAAAATGCCACTTCCTTCAAAATAAGGCTAAGGTACAAGTTGTCAGTGCTGTAAATATTACATCAGATGAAAAGAGAATGGCACAATGGCTAGTTAAAAACGGCCCAATTTCTGTTGGAATTAACGCCAATGCCATGCAGTTTTATTTTGGAGGAGTTTCACACCCACTTAACTTCTTATGCAATCCTAAAAATTTAGATCATGGCGTTTTAATTGTGGGATATGGCATTAGCAGTACGTACATTTTTATATATCTTTTAAATATAT